CCCGGAACGCACTGCATTGCATTGCCGCCAGCTCACTATGTTGTGGGGCAGGAGGTGGCATGGAGGTCCATTGTACTGAATGGCACCTTAGTCACGCTCTCCGGCCGCTATGTGATCGGCCTAATGGGAACGCAAGGCACATCAATGACTGCGATCCGGTCCAAACAAAATAGTGCTTGCAACATTTTGTTCAGACTGGACCGGACCGGATCACAGGCATTGATGTGCCTTGCATGTACATGTGGCCGACTGCATTGTGGCCGGAGGGCATGGCTACGGTGACATTCACTTCAATGGACCGCCACGCCCCCTATTGCCCCACAACATAGTGAGCCGGCCACAAAAGTACCTTAACTAGTACCAAAAAATGTTCTTATTTGTGTTTCACTCGGCTGTAGATCCCCAAAGCATCTCTGAATCTGTGCCGACACTGTCCTTCCTTCTGGAGGGTGGCTACTTTTGTTCCCCATGGTCCCTGTGTGTGTTGTAAAGTAGTCAACACTCCAAGCTCACTCCCATGATGGACTACAATCTCATGTTTAGTTTACTAATTTCTATTGAGATTGTAGTCCATCACAGGAGTGATTTTGGAGTGTTGACTGCTTTACAACACACACAGGGACCATGGGGACCAAAAGTAGCCACCCTCCAGAAGGAAGGACAGTGTCAGCATTTTTGTTGATAGTGAAGGTAATTGAGCACATACCGTCGCTCGCTCACTTCCCGATCTTCTCCCTGCAGTGAGCGGTGACCGCCAGTCACCGCTCCCTACAGGGATTCCCCCCTCCCCTCTCCGATCCTCCAGCGATGACTGGAGGAACGGAGAGGGGAGGGGGCGGGCACAGCTGGCTCGTCCTCCAGATAGGCAGAGCCTGCTGTCAATCAGCCAGCTGGATCTCGACAGTACTGTCGGAATCCATCCTAGCTGCGGCGCTCTCAGTATAACACACCATTGCTCGCTATATACTGAGCTTTGGGTCACAGAAGGATGTCAGTAAATGTCCTCCCGTGACCCTAAAGAGAACTATGGGAGAAAAAGATTAGCCCATAGTTCTCTTTTAAGTACAATATTGCTGTCCCTGGGATATGCAACCTCAGGACTCCAGCTGTCGTGGTACTACAAGTCCCATGAGGCAATGCAAGACAGCCACAGGCATGATTCCAAGAGCAAGAAGCATGACGGGACTTGTAGTGTCATCACAGCTGGAGTGTTAAGGTTGAGTACACCTGTGCTATCCTGTTAATTCTATGAAAATTATAACACAATTATCTGAATATTAAACTTATTATATATACTTATTATCGCACTCAGGATCAGATTCCTGGACGTAGCTTGTCATCCTGTACACGAGGAAATACCAACAACTGTACAGCAAATCCACAGATGACCCACATACCGAAGAAATGACAACTTCTATTAAGACCACTACCAGACTACCACAAGCCGCACTATTTATTAAAATGAAAATCTTTGCCGAGATGACACACCATTACGAATATCCCCGAGATCTCAAGATGAGCTCATTATTTTGGAATGATCCCCAAACAGACACAGAAATTATAAGACCGGAATTTACCCACTTGGGTGTCTGCTGTATTTTAAGTGACTGATGATATTTAGACTGAAGACTGAAAGTTAAATGTCCTTTTCAAAATACTGTACCCTATACATTATAAGGACCCGATTTACACTGGTACTGTTTGCTGTGTTGCATTATGACAGCTCATTTGAATGGGGTGGCAATGCATCAAATCGCACGCACACCTTTTTTTGCTATGCTACACACAGTAGTGTGTTGCCAAGTGTTTTGTTTCAGACACATTAAAGTATACCTGTCATAAGACAAATACATGAGCTGACCTCCATAGCCCAGGGTTAAAGAAGATCTGCGGTCAGAAACAAAATTAACCCTTGCACTATCTAGCTTTGTCCTGCTAATCCGGCTGAAATTCGACTAGTGTGTGGCTCCTTGGGAATTGAAAGCTCCCCCTCTTTTGTCAAATCAGCTGGTCGAAAAAATCTCAGGTGCAATAGCCCACTGGTGGCATGTTAATAGAGCAATTGAGAATTTAGAGGATTTTTGGGGCCGGATTAGAAAAATCTATACCTGTATGGCCAGACTTACACTGGTGATTCAGGCTTCATTCACACTTGCATTTTTGTCTTCTATATGCAAAAGCAAATCTGTCAGGCTAGATGCTGTGTTTATGCTTCTAGATGTTTTAAAGCAGTGGCTCTCAACCTGTGTAACCTCAGGACCCACATTTGTCCTTGGTCATTAAGTCGCAGCCCAAGTCGCACTGCAAAGGAATGCATGGCATTCGGGTTCCGGTGCGGCCATACAAACTGTGGGTGGAAGGTGCGTTTAGAGTAAAATTCAAATGAATGTCAACGCAACACACCTCCCACACCAGAATGCATTGTAGGTGCCCTCAAAAACACTGATAACAT